AAAAATGTCTTATAAGAGTCCTTAAACGGGAGCTAATAAAACAGTGTCCTAAGCTGATAATGGAAACCCATAGTTTAGCTTAATTTAGTCATTCCACATTGTATACATATACCAAAACATTATATTGTACCCCATAAATGTATACAATTATGATTTTCAATTAGAATAGTAGGAATACAAAAGTTTTTAAAAATAAGAAAAGACTGGGCTGGCCCCGTGGCTCACTCGGGAGAGTGAGGTGCTGGTAGCACCGAGGCCGCGGGTTCGGATCCTATATGGGGATGGCTGGTGTGCTCACTGGCTGAGCGTGGTGCAGACCACACCGTGCCGAGGGCTGCGATCCCCTTACCGGTCAAAAAAAAAAAGAAAAGACTAACCACAGATAACTGAAGAACATTTTCACCCAGAAGAAAACATAAATTGGTGCTTCCCCCAGTAATTTGTTTCATAATTTAGACAGAGATCACATTCTTTCTATTAATGATTGTTAATTGGGTAAATGTAAATGACTATGGGCCTTTAAGGCTATTCTGAGTTGTCACAGAAAAATATATCTGTTTTTAGAGAAGGACCGAGAACTTTGCTATGTGGCTGTATTTACACTCTTACACTTAAGGCTCAATTTGAGCTTTTCCTTAAATAAGTTACCAAATTCTACCTAGATGTTTGAACATTTCCTAAGAACTGCTACTTACATCTCTTCCAGGTTCACCAGCTGTACCCGCCAGACCAGGAAGACCCTGGGGTCCAGGAGGACCACGTTCACCATTTAGGCCACTAATTCCTGGTTTCCCACTTTCTCCCTGTGTACAAAGGAATAACAGACATTTTATTTGGATTTAAAAGATCAATTAGTATGATGTTATCAGATGTCTTTCTCAGAAAAATCTTGATACAGTCGATTTCTATTGATTTTTTTTTCTTAAAACTATGCCCACCATGAGAAAAATGTTTGAGGGAAACAAGCTTCTTACATTTTCCAACTTGTGCTGTGACTCTAGATGCCAAAGGGCTGAGTAATTACGTTGATAATCTTATCAATGAATACATTCTAATGGGAGATGTATAAATAAACATGGGTATTATAAGGAAAAAAATCATGATGAGCCATGATGAAGCTATAGGTTTATTGTGACCATTAGAATTAGGTTTTATTGCACATTTGTCTCTATCTGAAGAATATACACTTACTAGATATGTCATAAATTAAATACACTTAAATAGCAAATTTTAATTTTATGACAATATATCTGACATTTTGTCAAAAGAGGTGCTTAAAATGTCATAACGTGAACCTTAGTAACAATAGAATTTTATTATCCTACTTGCTGAATAAATATGTTAGATATTAAACACCAGAATGTTATCATAATACTAGTGAAAGAAAACCAGGAGCACAAAATGACTTGAGGGGATAGATAATCGGCATCAATTAAAGGCTTTAATAGATCTGTAAGCTAATGCTATCTCTCCTTTCAACATCAAGAGTCAACAAATCCGAAGAATGTTCACAAGTTTCCTAACAGAGGTGTGAAGATATCTTTCTGTGATACCAATTTGTTTGTGTTTGTGTTCAAGGCTATTCTATAAGGTGCCTTGTTTTTGTGTTCTGAAGCCATTTAATATAATGTATGCTTCCAAAAATCTGAAAATATATTAAAGGAAGGTCATCTCTTAGATAATTTGCATCAACGACAGGACAACTTTTCATACTTGATTTAGTTAAGTGATCTCT